TTACATTAACCAATTTTTCTTTCTTAAAGGCTTCACTCCTGAGTTAGCTCAATTTAAAGGATTTTCTTTAACTTTTTGTGTATCTCTTATGTATCTCTTCTGCACAGGGCCAATAATAAGAAGTGGACAATACAGTATTTGCTTCATTGTGTGGGGGAAAAAACCTTTGTTAAATGTATGGATGCAGACGCCTTGATGAAGATCTTAATTTTGTTTGGTTAAAAAAAAAAGTAGTGTTTTTGAAAATGTACAAAATATCTATCACTACTGATAGGAGGTAATATTTCTGTGTAGAAATGAAAAATGGTTTGTTTTTAGTATTAGTGTAGATGTACACATTCCAGCAAATGTATTTGCAATTATGTGGTCGATGCTTTGTGATATAAATGTACTTTTTCAATGTATTCTTTATCACTTTTAAAATGCCTGTTTTGTGCTTTACAATAAATAATATGAAACCTCCTGTGTCGGTAAGTTGGATATGTGGGTATTTAAAGAGTTATAGGATTGATTTGCAACGCTGAATCAAGGTACCTGTACAGAAATGAGATTTTTTCCCCCGAAACTTTGCAGAGTTTTAAGAAGTTGTTGTTAGCATGTTTTTCCCCTCTTGCAGAATAGTTATAGGTGGAGGATCTCTTTCATTCATTGTGTGTTGCTGCCTAGCACCAATAATCTTGATACCTTAATTTTCTTTCTATTTGTTTAAAACTGCATGTGTTTAAGAAAGTGATCTTTTGGCATACTTCCATTGCATTAACAGTGAAATTTCCTTTTATATGTGACCACTGTTTCAGACCTGTACAGCTGTTTACAACAGAGCTTCTGTTCTTAATTGAATACTTCAAAACTGTTCCTGTATAACTATTTTAAGGATTTTTCAGACTAGTTATAACATTTATTTTAAGTGTAATGTGCTTAAGCCTTCAATTTGAAGTAGTCCACTTCAAAATTCAGTGTAGAAAAGTCAATATGGTATGCATAGTAGTTTTAAAAAAAAAAAAAAAAATTGCATCTGTCCTTGAAACGCTGTTTTGTTTGAGTGGTGGGGAGTGGTTGAGAACTTCCTGCAAAGCAGATAACTTCTGTTTTTGTAAATACTGAAGACAAGTATTTGAATCAATTGATTTTTTTTTTTAATATACTTGAAACTTACTGCTCTAATGCTCATACTAAAAGTCTGATTCTCTTGAAATCCTATGTTTGCTCTTTGCATATTTATTGGCTCTTTGCATATATTAGACTACATGCAATACAGTCTGTCTTGCCATTGTCTGTTGAAGTGCAGGTTTGATCCAGCCAGTATAGAACTAGCTCTATAGGGGTGAGGAGGACTGTGCTGTGTATCATCCTTGATTGTTCCTTCAAGGAGCATTGCACTGTAAGTACATCAGAATGACAAATTGATGAACTGCAACAGTATCTTTTTGTCGATGTTCCACATAATGAAAATGCCATACTTGTGTGAATATTATGTTGGAATACAGTGCTGATATCTTAGGAAAACGTAATTGCTTCTTAATTCAAAAACATAGGTTTGTGTATATACATATTACATACACATAATGTGAGCTTTGTGGGTAAGTATTCGTGAAACGTTCAGCAATAGCTAAAGAAAATCATGTTTTTGTTTCTGAGTAATAGTACTCTTTGAGACGGCTGTATCATTCAGTATATTAAAGTATGCATATCATAACATTGAAGTTTTTGGAACCACTTGATAGCCAGAAGTTGTCTTTGTCTTCAGTTAGTTTGAAGATATGTAGTGATATAGGTATGTTTTAATTCTATATCTGTTACTTGCTTTATCCTTTGGAACACCATATTGTTGCTTTGAGAATACATTTTTTTAGAGTGGCTGCACAGAGAAGTAAAAGTTAAGGCTTGAAAAAATTGAAGTAGTTTATTCAGGTAATTAGCAATGTATGTTTTGTGCTGTAGAAATCGAAGGAATTATTTTTATCCCTTTTACAATTAGGAATTATTCTGGTACCTTATAAAAGGATAGGACAGTATTTGCTATCTTTAGTGTAGGGTATGAAGTTTAATAGTTCAGATATTTTGCATGGTATTTTGTAGATAACCTTATAGAATGGTGCATTTATGATGTACTAAACTGAGCAAAATTGAATTCACTGGATTCTTTATCATTCACAAAATGGAGGCTGTTGATTTTGATTCATTTAAGGTATAAAATCTTTATTAATTGCAAACAGTGCAATTATTTATACTTCACAGTGCCTTCCCAGACCTTCCACCTTAGGTTCTGCTGCAAAAAAGCAACAGGTAAGCACAACCTAAGGAAGTATATAAATTTAAATATTTCAGTACATTAATGTTGTCCCTGTGAGATCTTTGTGGTTGTGTATTGAAAAGCAATCTGCTGCTTTCCCAAATGCATTGTTACTCATGGTTCCATTTCAGTGGAAAGAAAGTCTTTTAAGTTTTTAAACAACTGTTTCTATTTCTAGGTAAATATGTATCCTTTTTTTTTTTTTTTTTTTTTTTTTTTTTTTTTAGAAAAGATTAGTAGATTGCATTAATTGAAGTTAAGCAAAATAAGTATTTTTTGTTACTTTTCCTCAAATAGTTACTTGTTGCAATTAAAGAATCAAAACCTTTAAAATATGCAGGAATTACTTTGGTTAGAAACTTCAACAGCCTTCACAAATGTTTTTTATAGTAGGGCACTGTTCTCGCTCAAACACGTAAGACTTAAATATAAAGAATATAACTTCTTGTTGTTATCACTGAACTTGATAAGTTGTCTTACAGTTACAGTGTGTTAGTGGAATTTTTAGATAAATTAGTTTGTTTACTCATACTTGACATGGTAGGAAAATAGATTCTAGAGTTTCACAGATGAGTATGTTTTATTTGGAAAAGCATGTGCACCAGTTAAATGTTAACAGTACAGCAAATAATATTTTATCTACATAGCAGTCAGTGTATCCTGTTTCATGATACTTTAACTGAATTGCTGTATATTTTGATAGTTTAAAATGTTTGTATGTCTTACAGATGGTCTGGTACAGGTTTTTGTTTCCTTTTTTAGCTTAAAGTAAAGCAGCATCTATTTGTTTGTTGATTATTCTGTTTCTAAAATGTGCTGCTCCTCTTTCAAAAGTCCTGCTTATCTGTACATTAAAGAAAAATATTCAAAAATACTGCCTTCATTTTCACACACAGTGCTGAAGATGCTGCAAGCACCAAATCATAGCTCATAGAATCAGGTCCTGAGATAGTTACTACCAGTAAAGAGGAATCCTTTGAGTGTATGCCATTGGTGAGCCGATGAGCATGGACCATAGAAGGGCTCCATGTAGAAGGTAAAATTGGCAAAAACATAACAGATTTGAAATGTATCCCATACATAATGGTGTAGGGTATAATTTTTGTTTTGATCACTTTTCATTCTTTAAAGTATTATTTGTTTGACCATAAATGTTCCATAATCTGTTAAGTTTTTAAACTGTGATTTAATAATAATAAGCAATCTATTTTAATTTATATTCTTCTAAACAGCCAAGCTTAGATATATTGACTTTTTGAACTAAATTAATAGTTGTGCTTCAGTTTCTCAAGCTACTTAATGTATGATGGTCTGTAGTTTAATGTGTAACTTGACTTCATTTTTGACACAAGAAAAAGTTAGGTGTGTCCCATTTGGATTTTGATTCCATGAATTTAGTGTTGGGGTGAGTCATTTGTTCGCTTCTTTTTACATGGTACTTTTTTTCTACAACTGTTGTTCCTAAAATGTATTTAACAGTCTTTCAATTGCTAAGTTTAGCCAGTAGAAGGAAATAGAGAAGAAAGCCTGTTTTTTGGAACGTTGCTAGGGTGTGGAAGATGAGTTTCTTACCTTAGTGTGTAGCGGTTTTGGTGTATTGACTTTCAGCTTTCTCACTGATGGGCTTAGAGGCATGCTGTTTCGTACTAAGCTTAGAGTTTATTTTTCAACTCTCTCAAAATTCATAGTTCTTGGGAAAACAGAAAATACATTATTGGAGTTATCCTGATCCAAAAAGATGATGGGATTTTCTTAGGAATGTAATAAAAGCTATCTTGAAATGTTTCTTGCATTTTCCCCCTTAGAATCTCAAAAATTAGGTAGAATGTGAAGAACATAAAAAGTTTTGAAGGGAAGCATAAAGTTCAAAGTAGGACAAATGTTTTCATATAGCCTTCTGCAGCATATATGTTAATAGGACATTAAGTAAAATATCGGGTGGGTAATCTTCAACCTAACATGACCGTAGGTCACCTATTTAAATTGACCAGGCAGACAGGATCATTATTCAACTTGTACAGCCTATCTTGACATATTTCATTGTTTTTCTGGTGGTATTTTATTGGATGATAGAAACTGTTTCTCCCCTGTTCTATTCCAAAGTGATTTTTAAGTTTTCCATTGCATGCTAAGAGCTTCTTATTTTGCCTTTTTCTGAAAATGGTGGGAGGAAGGGAGGACCCCAGGCCTTTCAGAAAGCATACAGTTGACAGGATTCCCTCTTCCCTAGTAATAGCTTGTGAAACTCTTATGTATGCACAAATATTTCTCTTGTGTGCATGTGAAATGCATTTTCGTCCTGAGAAAAGTGTTCTCTGCAGAAACTACCCGTGTGTAAAAAGAAGATTGGCTTTAAAAGGCAACTGTGATGGGAACAGTGTCTTAGGGAGATGCAGCTTGGACTTGAGGTAAATTGAATGCTTTACAAAAATGTGGTTTTGAGCTTGGCATTGTATGTAATATGGGTACACGTTAACTGTATAATGTTTTTTGTATGGTTTTTCTCAATAAATGTAAACTGATGGATAATAATAGAAATGTTCTTGTCTTCTTTGTGCTCCTACCGTGCCTTAATTAGTTTTAAATTACAGCTTCAAAGGAAAGGTATTGCAGCAACTAGTACTTATGTGAATGAACATCACCCACATGAAAATACATGTATATGGCTATTAGGATAAATGCTCATTGAAAACCCTGTAGTTTATCATTTTTTCAAAATGTCTGAATTTACAACTTTTATTGAGGCAGAAGAATGACTTTTAATAGGTAACTGTACAGAGAGCAGTCATCATGATTGAGCATAATAGAATTTTGTTCAGTCATTTTGAAATGATGGCATAAATTTAATTTGCTGCAGATTGTGTCTTATGTTAAGGCTCTCCACATGCTTTTCAATTTAAAATGTGACTTGTTTGTAAAATAACTCTTAAACAAGCTTCAGGTGAAAAAATGCACATGGTGTTAGCACAATGGCATTAGCATTGCTATCAGAGATCTGAGAGAAAAACAGTATGTTAGCCTTAAGCAGACAATGTTTACAGATGCAGCAATAAATTGTTTGCATTAAGAGCGAGTGAAAGTGGAGAAATTGAGCTTCATGCGCTTCCTGAAAATATTTTTCTTAAAGTTGCTTCCTATCAATTTAACTGTGATCGGATCACGTTTTGTTACCAACTGTTCCTATATATTTTAAGCAATGAAAAATTAGATAGAATACCAACATTTGCTTGTAGACAGAAGACTACTAAAAGCCTTACTGAGATAGTTTTTAGTTTTTGGATAACCAACTGCATAGGTTGATACGAGCCTAACAGTTTAAATGCAAGTCTGTTTTAAAAAAGAATAATAATAAAAGAACTAATGATCTTTGAAACAAACCCACAAAAGTTAGCAGTTATGTAATCTTTTATTGTTTAAAAATATTACACTGGGGTTTTTGAAAAATCACTGATAAGTATTTCCTTTTGCCAGTTCTATGCTTCTGGGATAAAGTAAAACAGCTTAAATACTTAGTGTTCATGCAAAATATACCAGTAGATTTACACTACTACACAGGTTTCCAGATTGTGTATTTAGTTTTATACTATTACACAACAGTTGGTCTTCAAATGTGGGAGCACTACTATTCAGTTTTTCCTTTTAGTTCTTAACGTTCATTCCTTTTTAACCTTCAGTACTAAATTTCATACTGAGCAAGGAACCTGGACGCTCACACAGTTTGAAGGTTATTCTTATCTGATGCAGGAATGACAAATCAATGCATATCCTTGCTTTCTTTAGTTGGCCCCATCAGAGAAAGAGATGATGCAGTAAGAAAGTTTTGAGGGGAAGAGAGATTCCAGCTAAAGTAGAGCATTAGTAGTCATCAGCTAGAAAATAAAAAGGGTTAAGAGAAAGATTAATAGATTTTCTTAATAGGAAAGATGCAAGAAGAGTATTTAAGAATTAAGTGAATTTGAAAACTAACTCTTACTTTCAATGGTGAGAATACAGGTGCTAGCAGATGTGCCTCTATTGTTGACTGCTTTACACATATATTCACCTTCATCTTCTGGGAAGGTTTCTGGCAAATAAAGGCAGTAAGTTTCTCCTCTTTCAATATATTGGTAGTCCTCAGAGTCCTGCAACATTTCCCCCTCAAACCACCATGTGACTTGAGGTTTTGGTTCTCCAGTAATTTTAACTGTAAATCTCACTGGCTCGCCATCAACAACTGATGTGTTTTTCAGTGACTTCTTGAACCAGGGAGCTCCAGATCGAGCTTGATCTTCCTCATCTTCACAAGCAGAACCATTAATAATGCTTCCATCATCTTCTTCTTCCTCTTCCCTTTTCTGTTTGAAAATAATCCAATTTAGAACATTTAAAGTAGCAATGGCAGCATGACTGCTAGTCATATGTATTTGTTTACAGAAAAGCTATCATGTTTTTGAGAAGGGGAAATGCCACACCTATCCTTGCTAGATAGCAAGGACACTGAGTCTGGATATGGAACAGATAGTAAATGCTGTGGAAATTTGCTTTTAATGAGGCTGGAATCTAGGGAGGGAAATTCAGGTATGAATATGGATTCAATTTTCAGAATATTCAAAGGAAACTGCACTTTCTTTGCACTACACTTCTCATACTCTTCAAGAATAAGAAAACACCAAAAGCAATTATACATTATTGCAGCAATTCACACCAGCTGTTAAGTATAATGTTCTTTTTATACTTCTGGCAGTGTTGCCATCAATGGTAATCAGATGCTAAGTTAAATGACATGTAGGACTAAAGAAAAGGTACTTTGTAATCTCTACCTTCTGTAATGCAGCATCAATTTCTTTTTGTTCAAACTGCATGCGTAGTAATTTTTGTTCTTCGATTCTCCTCTGTTCTTCTTCTTGCCTGGCTCTTGCCATTTGCTCAAAACGTGCCTTCATGTTTACTTTATGAGTAAATGGAGCCTCAGATTTCTTGGCTGGTCTCACATCTACTTCATCATCCTTGAAAAATAAAAATAGGACTTACTCATATATTACCTTTTCAACAGTTAAAACAATAGTACTAATTCTGTAGAGTAATTCTTTTTAACTGAACAAAGCCAGAGAGTCCTGTTATTTTTTTACCCTCCCTGTTTTGTTTAATGTTGGATTTAAAATGAAGTCTTAGTGATAATATTCCAGGTTCTGAGGTAGTAATTTCTATTTAAAAAAATAAATAAAAATAATTTAGAAAGAAAAAATGAACTTTGGTCTAATATTTTAGTGAGAAGTTTTTTTAAAACAGTTTCATGACACTAATTCTGTAAGGTAAGGATTCAGGGAATGTTGGAATGCACATGTACAATTCTGTACAGTGAATTCAGATACATTTTCTATAATGTCCCACTCTTGATGGCTCTATGTCAGAAGTACGTGTTAATAACACTGGAAATAATTATTTTGGATGTAACTCTCTTTGTTATATACAGAAGAGATTATTAAATAAAAACATTAAACTAAGTAACATAGGGAAAAAATGCAGGGTTTTTAAAAAATGTCTTCACAGTTGTAAGAACTGTCCCTTGGTGAATTGTTCTTTATACTCACTGCATACTTAGGGTTTACATTTCTGTACTGGGGAGCAATGTAAAAGTATTACAAAGAGCCCTACTAAGTACACATCCTTTCTCCTTTTGAGAAAGGACGCCGATCTTCATTACATTTCTTCTTCAAGAAGAATGCTCAGGCTTTTTCACTACTTTCATGCTTTTTTGTGCGCGCGTTGTTTTGTTTTTTTTTTTTGGTCATTTTGGCTTTTTTCTACTGCTAGTCTTATAAAACATTTAGTTTCCTTCCCTCTGGACAAGGGAAATAAGTTCTTTTGGACCTGTGCTGTGATTCTCCATAGTACTATCTAAGGAAAAATTCTACCTTCTGCAAGAATCCATGAAGTACAAAAACAAGATCATGGGACTGTTTGCTTTCTTTTCTTGTCACATCTTCTCACACTGCTGTATGAGATCTGTTTTCTTGGAAGTCACTGTTGATTTGGTTGTACAAGGTCTTTTCCTGTTTGAGCTACTTCAACTTTTGCTTTGTGGTCTTGAAAAGCAGGCTTTCCGATAAAGTCTCATGTCTGTTCACAGAATCACAGAATTTCTAGGTTGGGAGAGACCTCAAGATCATCGAGTCCAACCTCTGACCTAACACTAACAATCCTCCACTAAACCATATCCCCAAGCTCTACATCTAAACGTCTTTTCTGTGGATTGTTTTTGTCTCATTGTGTGGTTAGCTGGATTTGTGCTCCCTTTATGGAAACAACCAACTTAGTAAACTTTTGGAGGGTAGATGGTGGAAGGGAGATTAGAAAGGCAAAATACTTGCAAATGTAATTTCAAAAGTGTTAGAAAAAAAATATTTTATACATTAAAATCTTTAAATGTTGAATACTGTCTTGTGATGGTAAGTCCTTAGTCACTTTTATACGGGGGTGTTGTGCCTTCAACATTGCAGGCTGACTTCATAGGAATGTTACAGTGTCACTCATGAAATGAAAGCTTAAAAGGTTTTGAGCCGATACTCAAGTGGCTAACTACACTAGGTATGAACCTCAGAATGAGACTCAGATCAGGTTTACTACTGTAAGGAGTCTACTGTACTACTCCGTGATTGTGGTGAAAGCTGCTCCTGTTGGTGTCACAGGCTAGTGCTGATACACAGGTCAGACTGAAAGCTTCATTTCTTGTTTACCTCCTCTGGAAAATAAAATGCAGTGATTCCAGATGGAAGCATATGTAATTAGGCGTCCTTCCCTGCTTTAACAAGTGAAAATCCTCTCTCTGATCAAAAAAAGGCAAGTACTTGATCTCCAAATGGTACTACGGTTTTTATTTGGTTTAAATTTTTATGATGGAGAATGAATTAAGAGTTCAGAAGGAGAAGCAACTCATCTGACTGTTAATAGAACACACTCTCAAACATGAATGTTCTAACCCCTCAGACTGTCAGGTTTGAGGTTGTTAAGATGCTAATTTGAAGACTTTGAGCAGCAAATTAGATCTGTGCTGGAGCACATGACTGATAGTGAATTGGTGCTGTTTCTTTTAGAGATGCTGGGGTGAGAGTTCCTCGTGCATCCAAGTGAAGCAATAGGAAAGTAGGGACAGAAACATTTTGGAAATGCAGCTTTGATGAAAGCAGCAGTATTGTCCAGTATCATAATTGTGCTAGTTAAGTAAATCATTAATGTGCACAGAGTTCAACTTACCTCTTGAAATTTTTCAGCTTCCCTTTCTCTTATTTCTTCATCCATTGCTCTTCTCTTAGCTCGTTCTTCTTCAATCTTCTTCTGTATTTCTTCTTGAGACAATTGTCCTATTTTTTCAAACTTGCTTTTCAAGTTCTTTGCCTGAATAGAACCACTTCTTTTTAGCTTTATTAATTCTTCGTATTCTTTGCTTAGCTCAAAAGTTTCAGACTCTTCTTCCAGCTGTTCAGAAATAACATAACATGTAAAATGGAAAATACTCTGATTGTTGTTTACTACCTGTTCTCCCCACAGGTTGTGTAACTTAATATACTTGAACAATTCTTTTAGGTTGGAGTTACTTGAAATTAACACAGTCACCTTTTCCTTCTATATCTTTTTATCGCTATGATCAAGATCACTGAGTTTGTAGCACCTTTAAACTAGATACAGATTTTAAAGTATCTTGTTTTCTCTGGCTTTGCTTGAATACACTTTTTGTTCAAAAATTGCTCTCAATAAACCACCATTTAGAGACTCAAAGTCAGATACCTAACAATATAATAATCTCAAAGTTATCCTGGATCTGTAATTTACCTCCCTGACTTACTTGCAATGTCTTCTGAAATAGTTTTCTAAAATACAGCTACTCTGTTAAAGTTATTGCTAGATTTCTTTAATGCAGAAAAAGCAAATGAAATGCCAGGGTGTCATGGCTGAAAAAGTAACAGTTCTGGATCCTGTAGTTGAACCATGTCTGATGTTGTAATGGTTTATATTTTACATCCTCCCTTTATGACTTCTAATGGCAATAAGAATGTGTATGCATTTCAGTTGGATATCCCTGTCTCCCTTCTTCCCCAGAACGTAATCCAAAATTTACTTACAAAGTTCACAAGTTGGAGCCTTTACTACTTGCTCTTTGCTTACAAAAAAAAAAAAAAAAAAGCAAACAAACAAAAAAATAATATTCAAAAGGGAATTAAAATTACCACCCACAACCAAATCAAATTGAAGCATAGAGTTCATGAATGCGATGTTCTAGTCATCTGGTATGCAAGGCAAATTTTGTGTGAGATTCTTAAAATCAACTGTGACAGTCTTCAAACCCTTTTAAAGTTTTCCTGGTATGTTAGTGATTAAAAATATGTATCTTATTATGTAAAATGTTATAAAAGGATGTTTTTCAATCTTTTCACATAATACAAAAATTCTGGATTGAAAATCCCTTTTTCAGTTTCCAGTTACAATCTTAAATGTCAAAACTCTGTTAACTGAAATGATCCATTATATTTTTTTCAGAACATGCTTAACGTATCTTTTAATATACAAACCTCTCCCATTTCTTGTCTTAACTGTTGAAATTCTTGCTTTTCCATTTCCAACTTTTGCCTACGCTCTTCCTCTGTGCGTCTCTTTTCTTCTTCCATTTTTTGTCTCAGCATTTCCTCAAAATTAATTTCCAGTTTACCAGGTATGAGAGATTCTTGAGAAAATGTTTTAAACATCTCTGGTGATTCATCATCCAGCACCTGTTAGAAATTCAGACCATTAATGATACATCCTGAAGGTACATGTGATGAAATCAGTGTTGCTCAGACATTTCTAATGCTTGAAGATAACTGCATATTTTGCCACGCCTGCCGCAGAGCAGTAAGATGTAATATGACAGCATAGGTATTGCTCTAAAGTTTTGGGAAAGAATGGGATTTGGGAAAAACATGTTTGTTTTTTTTTTGACTTTAGCCCTTTCTTATTACAGTGCTGAGATAGTGAAGGTGAAGGTGTTTTAAATGGGAGAGGATGTGCTCTATATGCAGCTTGGTGACCTGAAATAATTCATTCCTGTTTATTTCAGACTGTCCCACAAACTGTTTGTGTTTAAATGCCATTGCCCTTAACACTGAAGTACTTCTAATCTTCTAGGCAAACTGCATTAATTTTCTGTTCTTAAGCTCCAATAATACTAGTATTCCTAGTAAGCATAAATGAACAGAATTTTCTGCAAGGAACTCATGCACAAACTGAAGACACTAAATCATGTTGCCAGTTCATTGCAGCAAGGGTTTCCTCCTTTCTCTGTCCTTTTCCCAGGCCACACAGTAGGGCTGGCTTTGACTGTCATTCTGTATAAGCTGATTGCTTATTTTTGGACCCATTCCTAAGAGGATATCAGGGCCCCAGAAAGGCTTTTTTTTTTATTACTTCCAAAAGCAAGAAGACCAAATACTTGATCAGACTGAATTTGTCAAAGCATAACAGTACGAAGACAGTGAATGGTATGCTACAAAAACAGCCAGGTAGCATGACAGTCAGAGTTACACAGGAAGATTTTTAAAATATCTTCTTGATTATTAAAAAAAAAAAAAAAGTTTGTGTAGTTATGTAAACTTTTGTCACATTAACAAAGAGTGTCTCAACAAGAGCAGTCTGAAGACATGTGTGAGAGGAGGTCAAATGCTGATGTAGACCCAGATGAAGGTGTGGCTTTTGGCACTATTTAGTCAGTGCTTGTTTGAAGTCTTGTAGCAAACGCTGCAGAGTCCGATGTGCCTTAAGTTCTAGGCATCCCTACCAGCCATCAACTAAATTCTAGAAAGGATTATGGAAGCCAAACTTTCATTTGAGAAAGTGTTTTAACTAGCTTTATAAAGAAACAAGCAAGCGTGTCTGAAAAGATGTCTTAGCACTCCCTTTTTCCTTTATTACTTACTACTTGCTGCTATTGTAACTTGCACCTTTTACTGCTGTTTGTACTTAGTTCATACCTTAGTTCTTGACATACTTTGCCCATACCTGTTTTTATTTGCCACAGCACTTTCAATAGTTTTTTCTGGCCTAATCGCATTCAAAAACTCTCAGTCACTATAGATTTCTTTCAGATTTTTTCCTCGGAGTAAGCTTGCAGTTGGACTTCCACCTCACCATTCATTCCATTCTTCACTCGTTTTGCATAACACAAACTTATTTGTAGAAATTGTCATGGAGAAGCAGAGTCAAAAAGTGAAGCTGTAAACTATTTCTTGTAGTGAGGCAATGCATAGCTAGCTGTGTATTTTTTAGAAGGTAATTACATCTAAGTCAGTAAAGGAATGTCAGTGTCTCTTTCTGATGTTGTATTAGTTCATATGCTTACCACTTCAAGATGACACAGAACCTAAGTGAATAGAAGAAGCACTAATTCAAAATTTATTAATACATGTATGTATGAATTAAAAAAGCTGTGCATATAAGCAATGAGTAGCATATGCGCATCTGAGTCGGTAAGTTATGAAGACAGTAAGTGAACTTATTCCTGGTTAAAAAACACGGGGAAAAAAAATCAGCTGAACTGTATGTTACATAAAACCCTTGTTTAGTAAATATTTTAGCCATGTTTTGTGAGGTGAGACCATGGTTTGGTTGTTTATTCTACAAATTGGGAATAGTTAGTGGTGGGAAATGGTCCTGTACTAGCAATAGCTTACGGCTCAGCCAGCCAATTTTCAATGGGCAATGCTGATTGATACAAAGTAGAATGGCTTTTTGTTCATACTAAGACAGGTTCTTTACGCAGTCACTAGTAGAAGGAGAATGACGGTGAAGAAAACAAATGCTTCAGTCCAAAAGGGACTGAGTTTATGGTGGAAAGCATGAAAATATAGAGTAGAAAAAAATGTAAAATAGGGAGATCCTCACAAAAGGTGGTAGCCTTTGTGCTTTCTAGTAGCAGTGTTCCTACTCCTGTTTTTTTTGTTGTTTTTTTTTTTTTCAAAAAAGGAATTAAAATGAATAAACGTGGAAAAGGTTCTTAAATACCTAAATTTAAATGTTTAAAAACTAATGTGAGGTTTTAGAACATCTGAAAGAGATGACTTCTTGACATGCTAAAAAGCACATCTGTGCATTGCTATTATATTGTGTAGGTGTGGAAAACAGGGAAAGCGTGGGCTTATATTTTCTATTAAAAGTAAAAGAAAATGTAGTACTCATATTCAGGATGTTAATTAACAGAAAAAAATCCAAACACGTATATGCTGAAAACATATTCTGTTAATTGTTTAGACTACTGAACTTCTTTACTCTCTGCTGTTACAGTGCAATTCTAGCCTGTGCTGCATCTAATGGATTAAACTGTTAAGTCAGTGAGATTTCTCTGGCCTAGACACTAAAGTTCTTGTTACATTGAGGCAGAAAAAGGCTGTTCGCAAGAAAACAAAAAACAAAAGGGCAGGGTGTGAGTTTTTTTGTTGTGTTTTTTTTTGTTTGTTTGTTTTTTTGTTTTTGGCTTTTGGATTGTCTGCTGACTTTTCATAAAGATTGTAATGGTAGAAGTCCAATAGCACTCCTTTTTTTCAGATGTAAGGTACTGTGTTCCCTCTTTGGAGCTGTGGACAGACCACAGACATTATTTTATGTAATTGCTTACCAGTACAATATGAAGTATAACTTTATGTTGTGATTTCTCTTGAAAATTTTGGAGTAGAGGTCTTGTCTTCAGCCCACTTTTCAGGCAGAGGTGGAGCACTGCTAGCAGTATTAATAGTCATACAAAGCATTAATTTGCCTCACAAGTAATTTGCCTCACAAGCATTGCTTTGAATTATGAAGAAAACAATTTTATTAGGCATGCAGTTTCTCTTTCTCAATAAAACCACACAGGGGAACGTAGATAGAGACTGCCAGATGGGCGAGTTGTTCCACAGTTTTGCATGGTATGTCTTGTCCTTCATTTTGAAACAAACAGTACTTGCAATTTTAGTTGGTAATGGTCTAATTTAACACTATTTCCTAACATCCATCAGTAAGTAACTGGCTTTTATCAAAAAGCATGCTGAAACTTCAAGTTAGTGCAAGAAATAAGAAGAATACTGTGAAAAGCCCCATGCTGTTTTTTTTGTTTGTTTGTTTTGAGTAATTTGGTCGACACCCTCTGAAATTAGGCATTTGTCTCTGTTTTCAGGTTGGGTCAGTATGTCAATCCTTGCTCCCTGAAAATTTATCTTTGATACAGTCTTGGTCACTGCATGTCACAGGGATCTGATCCAGATCAAAGTTCCATATTAAGAACTGTTCTAACAGTAAATTCCACAAGTAGCCTTTTTGGTTTCTCTGAACAAGTAATGAAATACAATAAAAACATCAATTACCTGACTTCAGCTTTTTCATTTTTTTCTTCCTAAAAGGCCACAGATGACTACAGAATTTGCACTTGCACTGAGCATTTTTCTAGCCTGGCATTAATTATACTTAAGGAAGAGCTGATTGGTAGGCACTCTTTAAATGCAGGGAGATTAACTTGGACAAGTGGAGCTAAAGAAACAGGAATTCCTCCCCACCCACCCAACCGAAAACAAGAGCCTCCTTCCGAAGTCTTTCTGCTTTCCATGTAGCATTATACTAGCAGTAGGAAACACTATCTGGTTTTGATTAAATTATTTGAAATGCTTTCTAGGGTTTCTGTGGGGAGATACTGCTGTGGTAATGTTTGTTAAGCTACCTATTAGAAGGTAGTGGGGTGAGCTAATTAATGAAGGAGTGAAAACATATTCCTAACTCTGTATGTAAAGCTTTTCCTGGAGCTGCTTTCTAGTTCAGTTTGGAGACTTAGGTAAAATATTAAAATAACTAAATACTAAACAACGTGCCATACCATATTCTTCCTTGCTTCAGCAAATGCCCGTTTCTCTTCTTCTATGCGTCGTCTTGCATCTTGTTCTGCTTTCCTCTTTTCCTCTTCTCTCCTCTGTCTTTCCATCTCCTCAAAACTGAGCCTAAGTTTACCAGGACGGAATTCTTTACCAGAACTTTCAGATTCATCATCATCACCTTCATTTATCTTTAGAGAACAGGAAAAGGAAAAAAAATAAATACCTTATCCAAACAAACAAAAAATTCTTTGTACAGTAAATGCTCCATTAATTCTATTCTGAACTCTCATAAATGCTTTCTTCTCCTAGGGGAAGAAAAATATATCATTGGTTTGGTTCCTATAAGAAACCTTTTAAGCTTGGTTTTAACCAGGGGAGGGAAAAGAGAAATGTATTTCAGAATCACATATTATTCTATAATTTCTTTAAATCACTTGAAGTTGTAATTTGAAGTACAATATGTTATCAGGAAAAGGCTAAACAATTAAGTATCTATTTTGTGGTTTCAAGGTTGGATTATTTCCTGTGAACTCCTTATTAGCTTTCTTTACATCGTTTTCATGGAGCTTTATAGTATTATGTTATTTACATATAAATTATTTCCACCAATACAAGTATCAGTTTACAAAATGTTGAAGTTTTATAGCAAAACTAAACTAAATAACATTTTGTTTTAATCCAGACTGACATTTTTGTTTCTTTCCTTTTTAGACATTTAATCATCACTGAAGAAAGGGAAGTGAAATTCTTTACTATTGCTTATCTCCAGTAAATGCTATCCACAAAGAGAAGCCTATGGTTTGTAAACTGCAATCAAGAACAAAAGAATGAACTATCTAAAGAATATACCTTGGAGTACTTAATTTCTAATGGTGGAAATTGACTGGGAACTCTCAGAGTATCCAGCTATCTGCTTATTACAAGCAGGCCAGGGACTGGTATGTTGGGGGAATTACAGAAAACTTATATTTGGAATTTGTAGGGTAAAAAAAAAAAAAAAAAAGAATTAAAGGAACAGTTTAGCAGTTGAGTTCCTTTAAGAAAACTTTTGACTTCAACTTTTGATAGCCACTGGATAACTGATAAAACTGCATGGTAGAAAAAGACCGTGGGGGTATCTTGTTTTTCTATTGAATGTGTAAATTCAGTTGTCACAGTTATATTACATGGTTAATAAATGCAGATATTGAGGGGTGGGAAATGTTACTGTAGCATTTCTAATTCAAAGTTCTCTCTTCTCTTTCTTTCTTCTTCATCTTCACTAGTATCCAGTAGGAACTAATGGAAAGTTAGGTGATTTTTCAGAGTGGGTGGGAGGAACTATGATTTTGGGATCTGTGTAAACCTAAAGCCCTCTCAGTTTGGGCCAGTTGGGAATTTCAGTGTTTCAGCTTTCTGGATGTTCTGTGAGGGTGGTTTGTTTTCCCTTGCATATTAATTTCTGGAACGTTCCTGAAATATAGTCAATATAGTGATTTTGTTTGTCCAAGAATGGTCATTTCTATTTATACTTCCTTCTTATCTATCATATTTCACATGATATCATATAAATATGGGAACAAGAAATAGTATTCTGTTACTACCGAACATTTTCATAAAAATTGGTTACTGAGATGTATGAAGTAATATTAAAGATGAAAACAGACAACTAATTTTCTTTTTGAGGATTTACAGCCTCAGGTACAAAAGCTGATATGAAAACGGGTAAGATTGCTGACAAATTCAAAACACAAATTTCCTGTTTTTACTAAAATAATGTCTAGAGAATTACACCAGGATGGTTGCTGGATTAGAACTAAGATCAGAAACATTTCAAAAATTTATGGTGATACAGTTTCCAGCTTGAAATAGAGTTAAGCAGCGAGGAAAATAATCGGATGCAGGAGAAAATGCGAAGACATATTGTCTGTGAAAATTCTGTAACAATATATATGAAACATAAGTTTACCATTCGCTGTCTAGCTTCTTCAAAGGCGCGTTTTTCCTCTTCTAAACGCTGTTTTGCTTCTACCTCTGCTTGCCGCCTTTGATTTTCCTGTCTCTGTCTTTCAAGTTCTTCAAATGTTACTTTCAGCTTACCAGGAGACAGAGGTTCTTGTGATTCATTGTCTTGATTTTCACCCTGTGCAAGAAAAATTAAATAGTTACATTTTAAATAATACATACTTATTTCTTAGGTATTCTTAGAGAAGTAGTTTACCGTGACAAATGAAAGGCACTTGGTTTCCTTAAGGAATTGTTTTTGTTCTTCATATTTTGGCTTCATTTCTTCATCCTGTCTGTCTTTTTGTTCTACTCTTTCTTTTCCTGTGTTTTCAAAGTTTATTTTCTTCTTCCCAGGTGTTTTGGTGGGTTTTACAGGTACTACTGTAACCAGCAGTGAATCATCCCCTTCCTGTCCAAAAATATATTTGTTATATTTTTGTACAGCTTGACTTCTAGGCAGACTTCTTTCTTAATGAAACTGTTGTTTTTACCTGTGTGAACCAAAACTTCCTAAAGAATTACTTACATTAACAAGAATAAACTACTTGTGACAGTTACTAATTTCCTTGTAATATCTAAAGAACATCAAGACTGAATTATATTTTCACCATAACTGCTGGCAAACTCTTTAATTATTTGTAATTGAATTTACTTAATTTCATTAACTCAGTTATAAATATTCATGGTTTGGATAAAAACAAGTTAAATTTTGAATACATAGAAATTGTAGTTGCAGTCTACTTCCAGTCTTGTATTTCCTATGTAAAGGATGTACTGTGGTTGAAATAAGCTAGTAGTTTTAGAAATAGGTAATTTGCCAAGCAGGTTATTTTGCTTTTGAAGGATGCTGCTGCTTCAACATTATTTTCACAACTTATTTGCCAAAATGTGCTTTACCCAAGTTTTTTTTCTTTAACAAAATACCATGACTAACAAGGATACTGTCAAATAACTTAAAAGTAATGTTAGTTTGTTTTTTAAACCGTAGTAGGAACGTGATTTTCCTTTGTTAGTGACAGATAAGACCTTTTTAAAATTAAATGCTTATTTGCAAGACTTAAAAATCTAAAGCTTTATGTTAAATTAGTCCATTTAAAAAAAAAAGACTAAGCAGTTGACTGCACTGTTCAAACATCTGTATGCTGACAGAATCCCCTTTTAATGTCAAGCTTAAGGCAAAGAGCTTTATGATGATATTTTCCAAAGCCCAAGGACTTAGAATATCATCGCCAGTGTGCCTCAAATCATTTTGGTGGCTTTCAATATTTGCATTTGAGGTGCTCTTCACTCTCTTAACCACAAATTATTCACATTTCAGACTATTTCAAACTTAAATAAATTGACTTCAAGTGCATATATACGCTATTGTATGCTTTAAATTTTCTTAGCTCCCTGGTTGAATTATAATTAAGTACGTGTGCCCTTTTCTAACTTTTCCCAGCCCATATTACAGTAATAAAACAACGTGAATAAAAATGTAGGTGAACATTTCTTTTAAAAAAAATCTGATTACCTCTGCTGCTGATTCAGTTCCCGTATTGTTTAAGTCATCAATCTATTAAATGAGAATGTCATATGATTACATTACTTTGGCTCTTTGCCTTAGATTTGCAAACAAAGAACTGGAAATTCTTTTTTGTATCAGTGATATGTATGTAGCACTTAAATTCACAGAGATGGTAATGATTGAACCTTCGTTGGAATACTTCAGCTAGATAGCGAAGTGAGAAAGAGGAAACATGACAGCGAAACATGAAAATACAGAAAGCATGTTAAAGCATTCTTAATGCTTCAGTGATGAACCAAGAAGAGTGCTTTAGATGTCCATTCTTCATGGGAGCATTCCACAATTGTGTTAAAACAAAAAAAGCAAGAAGCAAGCTTATTGATTATTTCTGATATAAGTGATACTGTCTTCCTCTCAACTCCATGCAAAAAGTCTATTGTATTGATGCCTTAATATAATGTTAGTTTTATACAGTAACATACGACCTTTCACAGTCAATTAAATATACAACAGATTAAGCTGTACTTTTTAACAGGAGATTTAACAATGCTAAAAGTCCCAGCAGAAAATTCTTTCCAAGTCCTTGTTGAAAATTGACTTCTAGAGCACTGTTTCTTTTCTTACATTTAAAAACCAAAAAGCCTAAATTAAGTATTCCTAGATTTTTTGTTAAATAAAGATTTGCTTATAGAAATAGTTATCATTTAGATGATTATTCTCACTGCAGTATTTGCAGCACTGAATAAAACTTGAAAAAGGAATTGAATATGATGCCCCAGTGCAAAATTTTACAGAAGACAAAATCTGCTTTATGAGCATCAAAAATGTTGGAGTCTGTTCACATATAGAATATTAAATAACAACATGCATTAAATTGCAATAACAATTCACAAAGTGACAATGGAATAAAACATGATCTGAATAATCTTGATTTTTCCAGTGTTAGTATCTTCATATTTTGGCCTGACAATGTCATTTTCATACATCTTGCCTCAGTTTATCTATCACTGAACTGTATTCACTAATTTAGAAGCAAAATTGTCTAAAATAACAGCTGGTAAAAGAAATATTTTCAAGTTAGTTAGTAAATTCTATAAACTCTTACATGCCTATGACACCAAAATTTGTGCCTTTTTCATATTCCTACCACATTTATGCCTGCCTGGTCTTATTTGTGACTTAGGCTTAAAAAATTGTTAACCTAAGGATTGTTAGGAGAACCTTTATCTTCACTTTCTTCCCCACTTCCATCCCATCCAGCATCTCCCATATAAAGCACTACTATCAAAAATCTTAAGACCAACTGTTTCTGCTGATGAATACAAAACTTCATTGTGCTTGTTTACAGTTATATCCTATTTTGATCAGATGAACATACCTCCTGTGCTTTTTTTGCTAGTTCTCTTTGAATTTTTCTTTTCTCAATCATATCTTGTTCAATTCTGCGCTTTCTTTCTTCTTCCGTTCTTTTTCTTTCTTCTTCTTGCCTTTGCTTCTCCATTTCTGCAAACTTGCCTTTAACAGTTCCTGTGAATATGAAATACACAATTCAGGAGGTAGATCTAATACTTAAGTAATTAATTATGTGGCCTTTAAATTTGGGCCTCTCTTACCTATTAGCTTTGGAACGTAACCCTTGTCCATCTTAGATGATTTTGTGTCATCATCATCATCAGATGCAAGCAGTTCTTTCATCTAGTTGAAGAAAAAGAAAGTTAACTGTCTTTATATCTTAAATAAAATTCCAACATGGTTATATTAAAATAATGTGAAAATATTTTCACATACAATATTCAGTATCAAAATAACACAAAATATTTGCAAAGAAAATAACCTCCTGCTTTCTCCTGTTCCATTCTCTCTCTCTAACATATTGTTCTTTTCTTCTTTGCTTTTCATCTCTAGATCTCCTTTGATTTCTTTCTTCCCTTGCTTTCTGCATAGCTTCAAATTTATCCTTTACATCACCCTTGTGAAGCTTGGGTACATAGGATTTTTGGACGGGTTTAGATGAAGAAAGCAGAATCTTGCGAAGATACAGAAGAAATGAAGATAAGAAAAAGAAAGTTGAAACAGATGAACAGAAATAGATTGAATTAGAAAGAATGTAAGAACATAAAAGTACATTTGGGATTATGAACTCTGTGACACTAGCCATCATCTATATTAAGTATTTGTAACTAAACAGTAATAAACATGAAAATACCACAAACATTCAGCTTCGTATTAAACTTAGACTATGAGTAACTGTAATGAATACTAATTTCACAACTAAGTATAAGAGCTACATAAATGTACACTTTCAATCTCTGGATTTAAAAATTATATACAGAATTTTATTGTTGCTTTGAAATCATAAGTGTTCAAAAAAGTCTTTCTACCCCTAACACCACATTTAAAAAAATGTAAACACACAGATGTGATAAAATATGCGTGCATTTTTCTGCAATGCTTCAGCATCCATATGTAGTTATATATGGTACTATTAGTTCAGTTAAAACTTCCAATATGTTATATACTTAACTTTTTTAATATTCAGAGAAACTCAGAAGTCCAGTGATATTATAAAGTGTCAAGATCACTGGACTTGCAGGAATCTGTTACTGATAAAGCCAACAGACTTTTTTTGCCAATGCTTAATCTGCCTGTGTCCAAACAGTAAGAGAAGTACCTACTTAGAAATAGTAGGAAGATTTTTCTCTTTTTACTGCAATCACTACAGAAAAGTATGTCAATACAGTAGCACTGAGAAAAATGGCTGAAAATATTTTGTGGTTCAAATTTTCAACCAAACCAATAGTGGGTGGTGTAATGATATATTTGCTTTTGTTCCTGTTACTCAGTGAATCAAAGCATAAGAATAAATATTTTACATTGCCTCATATTAATTAATTACTTAAATAGAAAAATTCTAATTTTATAATAAGATGTAAATGATGCTCTGAATTTCCCCACAAATTTAGAGTTTCCTCATATTTTATTATGTTTGTTTTGCATTCTTCATTCATTTTAATACCAAGAAGGTATTTCACACATTCCATCAAATCAGGTGGTCTTCCTTAAACTACTCTCAAATACCCTTCTAGTGTCTTAAAATAAAAACAATTCTAGCCAGACTTACAATATAATTGCCTTTTGCAGTTGTTCATAATTACTCTTTTTAAAAGCATCAATTGCAAATTACTATGTTCCTTTGATTACTTTAAAATTGGTACATACCTCAGTTTTCTGTGCAATGTCATTCATGGCTACTGTGTTCTGCTCTGCACCTGGTATGTTTAAGTTTCTACCTTAAACCTGAAAGAAAAAGTTATAGTTAGATTCTTGTCCTTTTAAATGATACTTTTACCATTTTCCTGTAAATAAGTTTGCAAGGGCTGAAACTGATGTATTACAATTTCATTTGGTCCTTTGAGGCTCCTGAAGACAAGAATAGGTTCTAAGTATGCACCAGTAATTAAAATAACAAGCTTATGATTCACTATTCATGCTCATAACCCTTCTATATAATCCTAGGTACTGGTTTTTAATTTCCATTTGGAAAAAAAAAAAAAAAAGAAAAGAAAAAAGGACTCTAAGCCAAATTCTGGCTGCCTTGGCTGGTGTGTTATGAAACTGTTTTTCTCAATACTCATGCTAGCAGAAAGGAATGTGCTTTGCACCTCTGCCGCTCTGCCTCGGTCTGATGTACGAGCCAGCAAGCTCAGGTTGCAAGAAGCCTGCCGAACACACTGGCCAAAACTCAGCCTCCTGGAGATGCTGCCTTGCCTTACAAGGGACGGATGGTCAGTGGCTGCAGGGAACATACCTGGATTTCAGAGCTGCAGCTAGATCTGCTGCCTGCATGAGGTCTCTGTGACTCTCAGCCAGGCACCCCTCTCAGCTCTTCAGCAATTACAGAAACGCAGAACACTTTCCCTTCCCCTATTCTAGGAATAACAAGTGCTAAAAGCTGTGAAATGCATTAGGTGGACCACATACACACCTTAGAAAATCTATTTCTAGTACTTAATTGTGGCTGGAACACTGCATTTTTCAAGAGAAAAATGTTTTAAAATTTAAATTACACTATAGTTATTACAAACCTAATGGGAAGGCTCTTCAAGTTTGAAACAGTTGGGTTTTTTTGTGGTTTGGTTTTTAATCAAGACTATCAGAGCTGGGGGGGAGGAAGGCAACCTGCCCACAGGTTTGCACTTGGGTAGCAAAGCAGTACCTAGCCTTTAGCTAGGTTTTGCACCTAACTTACCTTGTGAGGCTACCCGAGACAAACAGCAAGCCATGAGAAGCCTTCAGCAACTACCTGCTAACATGAAAAGCTGTACAGTCCACAGTGAGGGGAGAAAACTTCTTCCTTTGTCAGAGCACAGACAGCTTCTGGGCAAGACGTGGCTCCAACAGAAGCTGAAACTATGCAGGGAAAACATAGAGGGTGGAGATTGGGATAAAGTTGAGAAGGACCAGAAAAGTGAATTAGTGAAGAATGACAGCGTGAAGGCCGCTATTTCTTCCCATGGAAGGAAGGGAATGATGGTACAGTGGGAGCTCTGAAGGGGAGAAAGCAGGAATGGAAGGAGACTGCAGGAGACCTGTGTACCCTGTGAATGCTGAAGAACCGCTGCATAAGACAAACAGATTTCCCCCACAGATTTTAAGACATTTTTGTAAGGTTTAAGGGAAAAAAAATATATATATATAAGGCAAAAAGTTACAGTTTTAATGATTCTAAGTTCATACATGACTCCAGTGCCACTGCTGTCTGTGCTGTACCAAGGCACAGGCAAGTCCCAGGCAAGCCTGAACACTCGATGTGCTGCATGGGGTGCAAGCAAATGGACTCAAAGGCTAGAGGTAAAAAGGCTTGAAAAGGAGCTCTCTGCTGGAAGGGGCTTCTCGCCTGTGGGTTAGAGGACCTGAGAACAGGGCATTTCATATGTAAAGATCTTATTTATAAATAGTCTGTTCCTAAATCCCATTTTAGCATTTCCATGCCATGCTCTTACCAATGTTAACAACTGTTCTTACCTGCCTAAGTCACACCATGTGAACCTCCTCAGCAGAATGCCATGCAAGCACTCACTGCTCCATTACAGGTCAACAGAGAAATGATACGAAGAAATAGCAATATTCCATTCTGGGTGTTGGGGCTTCACAAAGCTGTTACTCAGACTTATAAAGAGGAATAGGTGAGCCTTCCCTGCTGCAAGAAAGGACGTGAGCTTCCAGCTAATATAGAACTTTTGACTTAAAGAAAACCAAGAGCTATTTTCTTTCCTTCTAAATTCTTAATTTTTTGAGGTAGAAATTGGATAAGGGAACAAAGATAATAAGAAATTGTGTTTGGGTCTGATAGTGCCACGTGCCATGATACTAATGTGATGTTCAGTCAGTTCCAAGTTCACACGTGCAGGAGGAAGTTACATTCATTGGTAAATTTAGTGCTGTCAGAACAACATAAAGTTGTTTTCTTTGCCATGCTTTGTGGCCTGAATACAATGAAAGCAAAGGCTTGAACTGTGGTGATTGTCCCAATCCTCTGCCCTCACTGATGGTTTCCCTATACTTCAGTTTCATGGAACAGGAATTTATGACAGTGTTTGAGCTTTCATTCTGCTAAAAGCAGCTTTTAAACCCTGTGTGTCAAAATGGTCATTTGTTCCTTAAAAGTTGTGCAACCCAGGTACCTGGTTTTGATTTGTAAGCTTAAAATAAAATCATGGAAAATAAACATGCCTTGATGACTAATCGCTGTTAATTTGACACTTTCCTTTATGGTGAAGTCTCATTTATTCACTAGTTTTTAAATTCAGATTAGCTCAAAGGAATGAATGATGAAAGACAATTACATTAGCAGGCATCCTAATCATATGTCCCCTGAAAAGTCAATTACTCATTGCTTTTATATGCAGTTTTAATGAAAATTACTCATTATTTTTAAACCTGGATATAGTGAATTCCCAAAAATGAAGTATGAGGAAGACAGGGACAGAACCTGTAAGTGCGTAACCTTGCAGGCTGCAATTTTCTGCCACTGGGGTCAGCACAATCCCTTATCTAGATAACCCCCAGTTCATGCCGGCTGTTTTTTCATAGTATCTATTCTGAAATGGCAAAGCTGAAGACAGTCCAGTTTGCTCTTCCTGGGAGGCCACAAGGTTTCATCAGATCAGGAAAAAAGACTGATTCAGAAGGAACAGAGCAATTCTACATGTGGCCCTAACTTATACAGGATGTACACTGCATACATATAAAATTTGGCACCTTTTCTCTTCGTAATCTCCATTTCTGATCTCTTTTTCAGTATTGCCAACAAAGGTGGTAAACTGTAATAGAGGTTTCAGTGATGTTAACAAGTATTCCACCAGAAAATGGACAGCAAATATCCTTATTGCATTTATGCCGTCATAGATCTGTTCAGTAATGCAGAAACATACATGTATTTATCAATATGTTCTGAATAAATCAATGATAAGGGTTTTGTATTTCATTGCTTATCTCCCATTCCTTAATATAAACTTAAAATATAAGCTTAATTATAATAGGTAATTTTGTTTACATCAGCTTGAACAAGACTTTAAGATGAGAAAAATCACAGCCAAAAAATGTAATAATTTTAAGAAGTTCTTGCTGTGTCAGCCAAAAAGTGTTTTTCCTTTGCTATTTATTTGCAATACCATATGTATGAATTTTTGAAGGGATAAAACCTGGGATCAGATCATTCAGCTAGATGAATCCCACACAAAAACCATGTATGAAGTAGAAAGAAAAATCTCAGGAGCTACTAAAAATTATCTAGTACTAAAGATAATGTAAGTGCGATGTCACAAAGGCATGTGACCAAAAAGGGTAGCACTCCCTGTTCTAGAGGCCAAACCACCGTTTTACAAATTAACTGAATGTGAGTGGGATGTAATAAGAGCTGGAAGGTTCTATTTTGGTTTTATTCAATCCTATAGCAAGTATCCTAACCCACTATCATTGAGCATTTTGTAATCCTAATTTGAATTGCATGGTATGATCCTATAAAATTATGCTTCATAGAACTGCTCTGATTATATCAACTAGGTCTCACTACTTTCCTGCTCAGTGGAAAAACAAACAAATAACAATCCATGTTCTCTACAGTGTGATGTAAACATATTTCACTTATTGTTATTCCAGCAAAAATTTTTAAGTAAGTCTTTCAGCAGACACTAAACTGACTGAAATTTTGTAGCTAAGACTTAAATATTACTGGCAAAACCATAAACAACTAATCCCCAGAAAATACTTGTTTCCTGAATCAGATTGAACATTAGGGCTGATAACTGTAAAAATAATAAAAAAAAAAAATAAAAAACCACACTTATTTGAATAGGACTATATGACTATTATCAGAAATACGCTAATGGCTCAACTATACCTTATTTTTAGACCATGTGGAACAGAATCTCCTTTGCTTTAATGTGTAATAACTTATTCCTGACATGTTAAGGAAAGCCCCAAATTTGCAATGAGTTCGGGATGAGTTCAGAAACCTTCCTGTGGGTCATACATTGCTGAACTGACATCCCCCACCAGCCAGTGCCAGGCAGAGCCATAGCTCAAAGCCAGTATGATTCCGTGAAACGACTACATGGGGGCATTTGTCAAGGTGGGAATAGCAGGGCATTCCTCTTTTAATTAAACAGGCTCAGAGTTCTCTCATTCTTAATTATGAACAAATTATAAATATGGGAATTATGTGCTGTTAAAAATAATGAACCTTAGGAGCTGCCTTTGTATTAGCTTTTCAAAAATACACCAAAGCCATAAATGGTGCTGCTGTAGCTATACAGAATGAATGAGATTCATAGATATCTTGGGATGTTTTTCCAAGCCAGAGCAGTCACAATATATGAAACAAGAGCATTTAGCTACCAAGCCCTGCCTTGATTTACAAATCCCAAACTCTTCAAATTCAGCTTCAACAGAGCTGTCTCTTTTCAACTGAGTATGTAAAGTCACTCCTCCCCCAGTCGGAGCTGACAAATATCTCATCTGAGGACTGACAGGAATCCAAGGCATTTCAGCCTGTCACTTGGGAAGCCACAAACACAGAGGTACTGAACATTAGGTCCTATTTAGACTGTTTCAGATCAGCAACAGTATGTTAAAGTTCCGTTGTGTCTCTAAAGGCAGCTAACTTTACAAGCACCCTTGTGGTCTCAAGGTCCCTATACGCTTTATTGTGCATTTGTGTACAGTGCTACTGCATTTGGATGTCATTGCAAGCTTTTAGCTTACTTCACATGTGAGTAAAATCCTCCCTGTCATCAGTATGACCTTAAAACTCGTTAAAACTCTTTGACTTCTAAAAATACAGAAGCTAAATACAAAGTTTACTGCATGAATCCATCAGAAAACAAAACTATGCATTGGTACAATTCATGCACTGGAGTACCCAGGGCAACAGGAGACCTCTTAGCCTTAACACACAGCTGGAGCAGAGCAGTAAGTCCCAAAGTTCATCTCTTACAAGGAATGATTGCATTTCACCCAAAGTGCTCCTGGGAAGGCATTGCTAACCTCCCCCATAACAGCATTCCCCATCTATAGAGCTTCACCTTAAAGTCTCTTGAAAACTGCAACTATTCCAAAGCCTGATGCATTTATTGTGTGGAATTCATCATACAAAGCAAATTACGAGTCTGAGACCACAATTAGATTTTGATCTTTTGGATCAACTTTACCTTGAACCTTTTTGATAGCTCTAATTACCTGAAGCCCTTGACAGTGTTACCAAGGTTGCTGGAAGCAGTGAGACCTATCCTCAAAACACAAGTCTCAAATATTTTTAAAAAGCACAAATAGTGGAAGAAATTTTCCTTGCAAACTCCTATTGTCTGAACTTCCAAAAAATCTGCCAACCTACCATGTTGTGGGCCTTCAAGATGGCAGATAAGTCTCTGCCATTTGGAATGCTGCCATGTCGGCTATTACTTCAGGGTGCTCTCCAATTTGTTGGCTTCACCTAGCTGTTAATGTGCTTGAAGGTTAGCCAGCTGGCTCCAGTACATTTTGCAACTGCAAGTCATCCTACCTCCACCTTTGATGCTAAAAGATATGGATGTAAGGCAGTAGGGCCTTACTAAACATGAGACTGCCGATGCCTGCATCCTCATCCCTCTCCACGTCACCTACACCTCCAAGAGGAACAGCAGCAAGCCCTTCCCTCAGGGACCCCTCGAGCAGCCAGCTTGGGAAGTCCTAACACCCACAGACCATGGAAGAGTGTCTCCCTCATCATCTGCTGATCGCTTTGCACAAAGTATGTGGTAGTAAGTTCTCCAACCCAAGAAACTTTGACATGCTATTTTCTAACAACAGCAACTTTTAAATAAGATCCTATCTTCTTACTAATTCCCTGTTGAGAGAAACTAGTTGTATTTTTATGTTGTGTATGCAGATAGATGTATCTGCTTGTTTTGTAATAAGCAATTCCCCACAGAATTCATCTAATAGAAGTCATGCTTATTTTTTGAGGCAACAAGGGCCTACTTTTGTATGTACTTGCTTCAGAAGAGATTTGTCCTCCTACTATGAAGCTGTTAAAAATTTTAAGATACAGTCTAGTTTTTTACTTCCCGAGATCAGAAAGGCTCAGGAAATGTTGCATGAGCTCCTCACTGAAGCTTCACACTCAGAAAATTCCCAGATTGTAATGCTGAATGTTAACTCTGATCAAGAAGTGAATTGTGATTGTTACTAGGTAGATTTTTTTGCATATCCACTCTCATCACCCTAACTTTCACCTGACATCACTATTTTTTTTCCTCCACATTTTACCTTCCCTATGATTAAGAAATATCTCAGGAAATGTTAAGTCTGATGTTTTAATGTTTTTACTGAAAATACTAGGCTGTATTTCCATCTTTAGAAGAGATCTGCCTCAAGATTCTCCCAGAAGGGAAATTAAACCTCCAAATATAATCAATGGTTCCACCTCTGAAACTGCATAGAAGAGAAAACGCCATTGTTAGAGTGGCTTGACTGACTGTAATGCAGAGAGTGATCTCTCAGAAGTTTCAAGTGAAAAATTAATACAAAGCCAATAATGCTTAGAAAACTATGCAACAGATTAGAAATACTCTGGGTTTAAGGACTTTAAAGAGAAAAAAAAAAAAAAAGAAAAAAGCAGCTTACCCATTAACAGCCTACATATAAGATAACAGCTCCAGTGTGATATGTCTTGATTTGCTATGATCATCACACTAAATATTCACAGTGACCCTCTAAAACCCTACTTTAGGCAAGATAATCTACATGAGTGAAGAAAAAACATTAAGAGGACACAAAAGTTTTGACAGCTCAGAAGTCCCCAAAATCTACTTCCGTAAGTGTAATTAATTTATATTTCTTAAAAGAGGACAGCGTCCAGAATTGATCAAAAATGTCATGCAGCTTTAACCAAATAAGTAAATAATAAAAAACTAGAAGCTCATGAGTAAGTAAGCCCATAAGTAAATAATAAAAAACTAGAAGCTCATGATTTTCAGTGGAGAAGTTAACATTGTTACATGAGACACAGAGAAATACAAATGTTTTCCTGAACCAAATGCTACTCTGTACAGATGGGAGTACGAAGCCAGGACTTAAAATAAAAGTCTTGTTGCTCTGCAATTCCTCCTTTCAGGAGGCCCCCCTGCTGTCCTCCTGGCTACTGCGAGTTATAAATAAGCCCACTGCAGCACGGTCTGAGTTGCGGTTACCATCTGTCTCCTCTTTGTGATCTGCTTGCAGGGAAGACTCCATTATACAAGAAAACCATACTGTGAAACTTGGAAACTTACTACCTGCAGCCAAAGCACTTCAGGAGAGGAAAACACAGTCCACAATGCTAAAGTATTTAAAGAAATATGAAATAGAACTGGAAAGAGGAGAGGAAAGAGAGCCATGCTCATCATTTCTGGCCTTACTGCAACTTGTCTGGTATGACATTACCAGTTGTTGTACTAAATTACAGATACTAAAATTATCAGGCACAGAGGAAGATCCTGAACTGGCATGAACTGTCAGCTCCGCTGAAGCCAACAAGTTATGACAATTAACAACAGCTGCTTAAACATTACATTTTTAAGAATATAAACTATAAAACTATTTCTGCTCAGCTGTATTTAACTAATGAAGTCTTTATTATCAAAGACTAAAATGCTTACCAAAAATTGGCCCAAGTAATTCAACTTCATCTACTTTTTTTCCTCCATTGTTGAATTTATTGCACTTCAACATTCACTAAAAGTCCCCCATTAAAGCAGAACAGTCTTTATGCCACTTATAAAAATCTATTTATTAGAAACTATTTTGTCTATTTATAGAACTATAAATACTCTTAACATGACACTGCCAGGCAGTCCAACTGCTGTGCTAAAAAAAAACAACACACGAGTAGCCCCTCTCTATGGAAGAGGTCTGCTTCAATTCTTTAATCTTCTTGGGTACTATTATGGGGCACATATGCTCCCGAACAAATGTGGTGGGGACTGGGAGACTGGGGGAAGCCCTGTCAAGACCTTCTGGCCCCCGATTTCACATCCCAAGATAAGATAGCTTGGGATCCTAGTTGTGGGGGGCAGTAACTGTGAAGACAGATGCCCAAGAGAAAAAACAGTGTACATCGCCCCATGCCACAGCTCCTGAAACTCCCATTGCATCCCAGCCGCTGAAGAGAAACAGTGCCGATGCCACGGACAGCCCCGCAGAGGCCAGGGCGCTGATACATGGGATAAAATCCCGGGTGTGAAGTTTGATTGCAGTTTGCTTCTTCCCTTCTCAGAGGACAGCTCACAGCCTATCCGCCACTTCTCCGCCATCCTCACGGCTCCCCCTGCACGGTGCAGGTCTCCAGCCGAGCAGCCCGGCCGTGCTGGACGCGCTGCGTACCCCGTACCTCCGCAGCGGGACGAGGCTGCTCCTCCCGGTGCCGAGCTGCTCCTCCAGACACGAGCCCTCACCGCGGTTTGGCCCCGTCCAGCTTCCAGGTCCCGTCCGCAGCTTGGCCGCGGCAGCGCTCCTCGTGAAGTTTCCGAGCAGAACATGCGAGCGCTGCAGTTGCGGCTCGTCTCGCTGCCTTGCCGAGGAAAGCGGTCATTGAAATATTCCAGATGCGGTGAGAGAAAGTGTTCCTTAGGCATGTGTCTTGGGCTGCCCACCTGGTGCTTGTATTTCTCCCGCGTTCTGTGTACGCCAGACAGCCTCGTGTATTTCTGTGCAGTCCTTTAAGCACTTGGCCCTCCTCGAAGACTAATTATTATTTCCCAACTTCATTACACGGGGCATTTTTCCAAGCGACCTGCTAGGGTCCGGGAGCTACGGCAGACAGCGCTAAGCTCGATGCCGCTTGCTGACCAATTCCCAGCCCAGCCCAGCGCTCCGGGGAGCGCTGCAACAACCGGCTCCGCTACCAGCACCCCTCAGCACCTGAGGCGCAGCGGGGCACGGATCCCTCGCCAAGCGCCGCGGGCAGCAGGGGGCCGCCGCCCGCCCGCCTCACGGCGCCCCCTCAGGGCGCGGGACGAGCCGAGGGCCCTCAGCGCCCCGCCGCCGTCCCCAGCCGCGCCTGGAGCCCCCGGGGCTGCCACGGGGCTCGCAGCCGCTTCCGTGGCCCTGAGCCCGCAGCTCGGCCCCGACCCTCGCCGCTGTGCCGCGTCCCCCCCCCCGCCCCGGGTCCTTGGGCAGGCGCCGCACTGAGGGCGGTGTGAGGGGGCAGCCGCTACTCCCGGCTCGGCGGGGCTGGGGGAAAAGCGGCGCCCGGCCGGGGGTCTCCCGCCGAGGCCGAAGGAGCCTGCCCCGCTCCCTTCTCCTCCCTCCCGACGCCGGCGGAGCGGCTCTTACCTGGGCGCGCTGCCCCTTGGCTGCGGCTCGCTCTGGTCCCGACGGGCGGGCGGGGAGCGCTGGCGGCTGCCGAGCGCCCCTTGGCTGCGGCCGCGGCTGCGGCTCCGCCGCTGCAACTTGCCATAAAAGTCGCGGCGCGCAGCCGGCGCCCGCATTCCAGGCGAGCCCCGCGCCAAGGCAGCTGTCCCGGCCCGTCCCGGCCCCTCCCGGCCCGCCCCAGCCCCTCACAGTAGCGGGGAGCGCAGCCCGACCCCGCCGCCGGCTCCCCGCGCCCCGACTGATTGTGGAGCCACCGACACCCGTGGGGCAGCCGCCCCCTGCCAGCCCGCTCCCGGCCGCAGGGCAGCGGCACGGCCCGGGCAGGGGCTCCGGGCAGGGGCTCCCTCCCCAGGGTCTCCCCCCTGCCCGGCGCCACGCACTTACGCCCAGCGCCGCGGTCCCCGCCGCCAGCAGCTGGCTGAGGCCCCGCAGCGCGGAGGTTTTATAGCGGCCGTGGTCAAGTCCCGGGTCGCTTATGGCACAGGGGGAGCAATCAGCTCACTAATAATAGTAAGGTGACAGCTCGCTCCTGGAGCGGGGAGGAATCGCGCTAGCGCCAGGCCTCTGAGACGCCGAGCATGGTCGGTTTAAAGCAGCGCCTTGCTCTGGAAACTTTACAGAGCAGAGGCAGAAACACGGTTTTATTACAGCTGAGTACGTTCCCTCTCCTCCTCAACGATGACTTGTTTCCTACATTTTCAATTGCAAGGTCTTCAGCGCAGAACTTTCTTTTTCCTATCTCACTTGTATTTTGTCTGCCAAACCGGAGCCTAACTGCCAGCTGGACTTATAAATATCAGGACAATAACCACATGACCTTACCCTTCGCAAATCTGAACAACAGATACCAACGTCAAAACACAAAACACATCTGATTTTCAAAGGACAGCACAAGAACTTTCCCCCAGTGCCAGGCTCAGAGCAACTGCACTCGCAGTTCTGAAAGTAAGCCACAGGCTTTCTGTTCTCGCAAGGCATTCAGCTCTCAGCCGGTAACAGCTCTCAGCAGGTGAACACGTTTAACTGAAGAGCAAATTTGGTCCTATCAAAGCCTACATGGATTGCTATTCTGCAGCAGTAAGGATTAGACACCTTCGTTATGTTCTGCGTTTCATTACCCCCCACGGGAAGTTTTATCTCACAACTGGAGCTCATTGTAGTGGTATTGTGTGGAAATAAACCTGAAAAAAATCAGCTCCTAAAACCAAGAAAAGAGACAACCCCTTGCCATAAATAGAATGCAATTAAACCATTCTGATTAGTGTGATAGGCAAGGATCTTGCAAGCTGACCAGTTGCTCCTTGTGTCCCGCCACTTAAAGCTACATCATGCCTGCAAGCCAGAACAATCATTCTTAGGTCAGGGTTTTCTTCATTTATTAAGGTCTCTGGCTGAGTTTTTTTTTTTGACTTCCAAGATTAGAAACATCACTATCTGGCTTTTGGTGTTGAAAATTTATCAGTGCTGTGGACTATTTAACAGAAGCAAGATGAAACAGGTCCACAAAATTGGTTAAAAGTGGACGGCTGTTCCCATTTCATTTCTTTTTTTCATATATAATTTATGTAATAGTTTTTTTGTTCTTGCTGTTGGATTTTAAGAAGCAAATTCCAATTTTGAGATGACTAACTGGTATAAAAACTGCTTCCATATCAAATTTTTCACATTAGATGTCAAGAGTTATGCAAACTCAAGTTTTAGTTATACAAACAAGTAATTTCACTGCATCATTTTATTTAATATACACAACTGCAGTTCATTTAGGCAATAGAAAGTTCACAGATATCCTTACCCCAGCACATGATTTGACACGTTTAGTTTGACAGAAACCAAAGAGTACAAAAGTGGAGTATAATAACCATTAAGAACACATAAAGAGTGAGAATATTACAACTAAATTACAAATAATATAAATATTTGATTCATGTATAACCTTTACACATTCAACATTTCTGATCTTAGGAGTAAAGTTATAGAAGAGGAAGATGGCTTTTAAATTTAGCTTGATCTTATTAGTGGAAAGTGGCGTTCAGAACTATCAAAAAAGTTAGAGATTATAAACCAAATTCTCATTGTGATTATGAACTCACTAAAGTAGAACTGCACAAATATTATCATTGCCTTGGTGCAGCTCTGGTATTTGTTCTTCAAAGATGGTAGACTTGAAACTCTTGAGCTAGGTGGCAGGTTATCAACAGATATTCTTTATATGTCTTCAGGGTAAGGCGTATAAACCTCAGCAAGGAGACAGCTATCTCCCACTGAAATTTATAACCGTCTTTGGAGTTAGGAAGGACACAATATGCAAGTACTTTGGGGGAAAAGGCCTGAAAGGACTCAGATACCTGCACATATTTCTCTTCTTCTTTCTTTTCCCCCTTCTCTTCCTGTTTTTTCTTCCTTCTTTTTTTTTTTTTTTTTTTGGAAGTTCACATAAATAAAAGCCAAAGTCTGAATGAAATATTTGTTGTTGATATCTCTCTGCACCCAGATACTGTAATTCTTATTTTGGATGGAAAAAAATCAGTCAGATTTCTGACCTGTTTCTATGGTCTTCTGAGAGCTCTGTGATGTTTTGTATCCCTTCAAGTCAGAAACACTTCCATTTGTTTAAACAGATAATATCAGGTACTTATCCATTTTCTAAGCATTTTGGTGCTTCATTAGGCCCTTTTCATTCTTTTGTTAAAAGAAAAAGAAAAATGGCAGCTTTCATTTTTGACAGAAGACCAAGCTATTAAGTTATTTGGAAACAATCTCACATCAACACTGTTGAATAATGTTTGGGTTGTACTTTGTTCAAGAACTTTTTATAAATATGAAAATCACTCACTTAAATAGACATTTACCTCTTCAAGAATGTGTGTTTCTGTTTTTCTGTGATGAATATTAAGGTATCATTTTCTTAATGTAATTTTATTAGACCAAACCACAGCAAACAGTTTCCTGTGACACATTACATCCCCAGGTAGTATATTTGCCATGGAATATGCTATTTACCCTGATACTTCTACTTCCAGCTATTCCTATTGATTCTGAACCCAATTTGACACCTTAATATAATGTATATATTTTATTCATAATATAATTTAATTCAGAGACTTGCAGAAAGCTGCCAAAATGCAGATATTTTTTAGATGAGGGGAGATAAGTGTGTTTAAGCTAAATGAGAGGGGTGAAAAAACCTTCATATTCTAGTATTGAAGACATACTCCATTGAGAAAAAAGTATAGCATAAAGCCAAGTTTAGCAACTTGAATGGTTGAAATAGAGCAGAAGCAGCAGCATTTGGAATTTGTTTTATTACACAGAGAAGTATACTTTTTTTTTTTAATAAACTATAACCAGTTGGCATTTCATACAAGTCATATGACATTTCCATAGTTTTTATATTTATGTAATGAGTACAACCAAGGAGCAAAATGTTGGCCTCAGTAAAACCTATGAAATTAACACAAGCCCTCCTCTTCAAGTATCATCAGTTTGGGTTGTGCTTTCAACAAAGTTGAAATGTTTCTAATCAAAGTTCGTTTCAATATGCCAGATTATAACAAGTTCCTGAAGTATCTGAATATTTAGAATTAGTCTGTATTATTTAACATAGGCTAGATTCTCCTGGGCTGGCTTTGTGTATGGCAAAGCATACAGAAACATAGTTTAAAAGGCTAAGCTGACTATGAAACATTGTTTCGGTTCACAGGAATTCAAGATTAGAGATCATTACTGTTTATTATCTTTAGCACAGTAAAGATGTTGCTGCAAGTTCCCTCATGCCACATTGCTGTGCTTCTACCGAAAGTTAAGGGTTCCATATCCCAAGCCACCAGTTTCACACGTGCACACAGATGGCCACAATTGCCAAAACTTTCTTTAAGTAGACAACTGACCTCCTACACACATGGGAAAAAGACTGAAATGCTTTTACTTATAAAAACACTGCCTTTGATTCTGTTTAATGATTAACAAATCTCATCATACATCCTGATTTAAAAATATATTTTGAAATGCTACATATGAACCAAGAATTATCCTCATCACCACCATACAGTCTTCACAGTTTTAGAAAAGGAAAAGTTTTAAATTAATTGGTGAAACTAGCATAGCTTTTTGGATATAAATAAGTGCTCTCAAACAAACACTTTCGTGATTATCACACATTTTAAAACAAAATAAAGTAAAAAAATGCATTCTGGAAGTCATTACTGCCCAAATGGTGCCTGCATTTCCTGCACCACTCTTTATTATACTGTCGTACAAAATGACTGCTTACATCCACACAAATGTAATTTCAGGGCAGTGGCAACAAGTTTTGTGAGTGTGATTACTTTATTGCACGTGTCACATGAATCAGAGACTGCATATACCCCTGTTGAAACACCTTCTAGATCTAGACACATAATGACTTTGAGACTCTGTAGTGAACATTTTGCACTATAAGCCTTTAAAGGAAACCACTCCATCAGCTTCACTTACAAATTATCTGTGGCAACAGTACAGCATTTCATAAATAAATTTTACCCAAATATTACAGAAAAAAGCTTTGGGATA